GAATGCTGTGACATTCTGGTGAATCAAATAGGCGATCGTCTGCGCACTGAACACCTTGCCGCGTTCTCTTTGATGAACCCCAAAAATTTTTCAAAATTTGCACGTCAATTTCCCATCCATTTGTTGGCTACTGTCTCCAAATTTTACCCCATGATAAACGTGGGTAAATTGGAAAATGAATTGCGATGTATATACACCAATCAAACTTTTTTGAACATCACATCAACTTGCGCGCTCTATGGGTTCCTCATAGATAACTCTCTAGTAACTACCTTTGCGGCGTCTGCAAAATTTCTGGACATCGTTTTGACGACGCCTATTTCTTCCGCCGACGCAGAGCGAACATTCAGCACGCTGAAGCGTATTAAAACGTATCTCAGAAACACAATGAAGCAAGATAGATTAAATTCTTTGGCTGTTTTATCCATTCACAGAGACATTATTTCTGGGATGCATGACTTTAATCAGCGCGTTATTGAGCATTTTGCTTCCAAGAAACCGCGGCGTGTTGCATATATGTTCAAGCAGTAGAAGTCTAGCAGCATATATATCTATGAGTGAGCGACGCATGTCCTTATCTTTGCATTCCCTTTCCTTTCTTCATAGTAACGTTTTAAACCTTATTTTAGGTTTTGTCTGCTTTCCCGAAGTTTCTGTTAATATGTCATTGTATTTATCTGGGTAAATATTGCCTTTCCTTTTGAAAGAGGTTTCAAAATAAACTATGTCTATATTTATTAATCCCTTGACTTGGACCGGTTTTAAAGACACTTTCTTATCGTTAAAAATTGTCGCTTTTGCCGATTGGTTGTTACCGATGGAATGGTTTTTATACTCATAAAATGATGGGAGAACTTACAGCGCTCATCCTGTCCCCGTAGATGATGGTGACTTGGTCCCGCAGTAGCTTGCCCCGGTTGTCAAAATGACCACGCGCCGCCACTGGCCCGACATTTAGGCAAATAATATATCGGGTATACCGGTATTAGTATTCTATGAGCGATCACAATTGTTCATTATTCGACATTATACAACTTAACTCAACTTTAAAAATAAACTTTCAAAATTGACTAAATCAATTTCGTGATGCACCTTCTCATTGCCTGTAACGATTGAAAAACGCGAAAATATTTGCAGCCTCAATTAAATTACAAAATGCAGTGTCCTGTCGAGTTATTAATAGGTTCTTGCGCTTTCAGATTTTATCAAGTTCAGCAGATTTTGCTCCGTGGCTGCAATCATGCGTTTGTTACTTTAATGCTTTAATATATAGGTGTACAATGAGAGTAATTGACACCGAGGAAACGCCGCGTTTGGAGATTTTTAATTCGAACAACAGATCGTATTGGTATCAATTCCTAGAACACAAACAACACCTAGTTGGCAAAATGCCATTACTTCGTTATAATATGCGAATTTGAAAGATTTTTTTCAAAGAATTCAAAGACTGAACAATGTCGTTGTTCAACGATATACAAGTTATGAAGTCTTTGTGTGTTTTGTTTGGTTGATTGATGAACACAAAAAAATGATCAGAATGCATGTCTGGTTTCCTGGAGAGGTCTCATTACATTTGCTTGGGTTAGGCCTACATTTTTTTTTATATATACATAAAAATATAGAACAACGATAAAACATCTGAGCTACTTGCAATTGCTATGAGACATGGCACACCTCCACACAATTTTCAAGTTTGTCATAACAAAACTTACGCATTTTGAGACATAATATTCACAATTTTTCGTATTCCTAAACGATATTTTAATTGCAGTTCCATTATCTTTGAACCCACGTACATTTGCACTCAGGGCAATTGCACCTGCATCAGTGATTTCCCTACAACCCCCCCCCCCCTAAAATTGCACCCCCCCCCCCCCCCCTAATTTTGAGGTGCGATTCCACACTGTATTTCCTAACTCAAGTATAATTGTATTCAAATATAACGACTATGGCATATTTATCAGTGTAGATGAGGGATTCTAAACCGCAGTCTGCGGGCCAATTACGGCCGGCGTGACGATTTAAAATGGCCCGCCGAACTTGAGTGAAATAGTTTAAACTTTAACCCTTCATGTGGTACCTTTTGAGTTTTAGATTCCGTCTATTGTTACATCATTATCACAGTTTAAGCACGTTCATTTCGTAACAATTGAATTATACCGGTATCTTATGTATACGTATGGGTATTAGGATTACACACTGCAGTATTTTAAATATCAGCCGTATATTAGGAAAGCTTAAAGATGTCACAAAACGAAAACTAGGCACTGAAAACAGACGTTTTTTATATGAATGACAGCGTTTTTATTTCTTTATTGAAAAGGAATCAAACTTCAGCGATTTGTCTTCTTACCAAAAAATATTTCAGTTCTGAAGGAATACAACATTATTAATCAGTTGACGCGCGTATTTCAAAATTTAATTCATTGCCCAATTCATACAAAAGTCAAACAAACATGTTCAAAAAAAAATGTGAAATGTGTAACAAGCAAGCCATAAGTAGCCATTCATACAATGCCAGATGAGCAAGTAACTTCATTAGTCACTATCAGTTGCAAATTACTTGTTGAAACGTAGTAGTATATATTTACGGTTGAAAGCCGTGCTTGTTTTCTATTTCCCGGGAATTCTATCAGCTAAATATTATAATTATTGATTTCATTACATAACAAACTGCGATGCTAGGTGTATCTAAAATCAAGCTTAGAGCCTATTTTGGTGCCTATTTCTCAAAATTTTCTCAGGACGCTTGAGCACGCCCTGAACCCCAGCCGTGACGTCCCGCACTTTTTCTCGCTCCCCTTTTATGGCCCTACATTTTTATTCTGCTGTGGATTTTGGCTCGCCGTCAATCAAGGGGGGCCCCTCATGTACATCGTTTCTTAAATACATACCATTTTTTTAAGAATACAAATAGCCTAGTTTTATCTCTAATAGCAAATTATTTATCACCCCCTAAATTTCGAAACACCCCCCCCTAAAAAGAAAAGCTGGGGAACATACTGACCTGCATACTTTTGCACCCACGGACATTTGAACCCATGAACAATTGCACCCACATACAGATTGCACCCATAAGCATTTGCACCCACGGACATCTGAACTCATGAACATTTGCACTTTGATTATTTATATCCTAAACTAGTAGTGCCCGACATTGAAAAAACAGCATATTGAGTACAGTATAGTGGTATTAATATTCTATGAGCAATCACAGTTGTTCATTATTCGCAATTACACAATTTAATTCAACTTTAAAAGTAAAGTTTCGAAATTGACTAAAACAATTTCGTGATGCACCTTCTCATTGCCTAAAACGAATGGAAAACGCGAAAATTTTTGCAGCCTCAATTACGTTACAAAATGCAGTTTCAAATAATGGTTTCAGAAGTTCGGCATATTTTGCTCCGTGTCGGCAGTCATGCGTTTGTTTCTTTAATACTTTCAATCTATAGGTGTACAATGAGAGTAATTGACGCCGAGGAAACGCTGCGTTTGGAGATTTTTAATTCGAACAGCATCGTATTGGTATTAATTCTTGGAACACAAACAATACCTATATGACAAAATGTGATTACTTTGTTATATTATGCGGTTTTGAAAAACATTTTTCAAAGCAATTCCGGATTGAACAATGTCATCGATCAACGATATAGAAGTTATGATGTATTTGTGTTTTGTTCGGTTGATTGATTAACACAAAAAATGATCAGAATGAACGTCTGGTTTCCTGGAGAGGTCTCATAACTTTTGCTTAAGTTAAGCCTTTATTTTTTTGTCTGTGACATTATAATACCAAACTGTAAACTTGGGCAACAAAGAGACAACTCAAAAATCTATATATACAAAATACCGAACAACGATGAACATCTAAGCTACTTAGCTATTGCCATGAGTGTTAGCAGGGCTTCGATGACCAGACATGGCACACCTCCACACACTTTTCAAATTTGTCATAACAAAACCCATCCATTTTGAACATAATAATCACAATTTTTCATTTAGAGTGAAGACATATTGACATAGAACAGTCTTTACATGAATATTGCACTCGATGTGCACGTCTTGTCTAAATTGAAAATATCAAACTCACGGTCAAATATTGCAGCCCAATATGCCTAGGAGGCAATTCACCAAAATGAAAATACACTTGATGCGAACCTCGGGCAGCGACACCCGTGATAAAAGTCTAACTCTGATACAGGTTGAATAGAAAGAAGTCAAAAAATATATATAATTAAAAAGATTAATGTCCAAAAAACAAATCCGTTACAAAAAAAGAGACTCCGGGCACCGGCCAGTACTGGTGAGTTAACCACGGGTAACGTAACAGCATGGCAGCATACAGCAGACTGAGTGAAGATTTAAATCGGAACGATATTTTCGCGGTATACCGAGCATATCGAATATATATTGAGCCAACATTGAACATGACATGAATACTCGCATTGCAGAAAAAAGGTAATTCATCTTAATTCACGACATTTTGTGTTTGAGCAACGATTTTGTAAAAGTAGAAATACTATTGGACGTCATGTAATATACGGACGTACAGAAATCTCAAATATTTTACCCAGGTTCAAAGGCATTGTAATGCTTGCATGTTGGCAGTATTTGCGTATATCCACTGATTAAATCAGTGCTGAATCCGCTTTTTAGATTGCAAAATACACAAAGACTTATAGCGACACCTAGGTCCGGGTCGCGTCAGCCGTCGGTTGGTCACATGGCTTGCTCGCCACGTTCTGATCTTTGGAGTTTCAAATTTTGGGCAATCTCCTTTAAACTCTTCAACCACACCCACCTCAACAAGTAACCTTCTGCCTCAATCTAACTTGAAGTTGAGTGCAGTCTACTCGTTATTGTCAGAGACTGATCAGAGCTGATTTTTTTGTCAGAGCATGATCTTGTGATTGACTTGCGCAACTCACGTCTCGTCGACCTAAACTCCAATATTTCCAATAGTAAGATTGCTCAAGTTTCAGCTTTGCAACCATACACTCTAAAAAATATTGACTCAAATTTGACTCAACGAGCCTCCTACTCTTTCAAAGAGTCAAGAAATATTTGACTCTTTACTTGAGTCACGCACATGACTCTTCTTTGAGTCAAATTTATCCCTTGATTGAGTCGTCAAAAGAGTCACGCACAATGACTCTTTTTCGAGTCAAATTTCCGCTTCAATAGAGTCGTCAAGAGTCATGTGCGATGACTCTTTTTTGAGTCAAATTTATCCCTTGATAGAGTCGTCAAGATCATTTGCGATGGCTCTTTTTTGAGTCAAGTTTACAACTCGATAGAGTCACCAAAAAGTGAGTTATTGGTTTCCTCTCCAATTCCCCCAGCCCCATTTCAACTTTCTTAAGTTACCCATGCATTTACCAAAAAAGCAGAAATTAAATATACCAAATTTTTCTTGGAAAAGAACTTCAAAAACACTCAAGCGTGAGCGCATCTGCATTTTCGGTGATCGCTAATTGTGTTGCTATATAAGGGTATAAACAGCAACACAATAAACAATCACCGAAGATGCAGACTAAACCACAATCACCAATGAACAAAAGAAAATGAAATAAATTTCACAGAAAGAAATCATAATGAAAATTATGACCCCAGTGTTTGCTCACATCGACGACTCAAAACTGCAGTGGCCTATGTCAAATTTTGGCGATATGAGACAATCGCTTTAGAAAGTTCCGAAAAAAAATCTCATTTTGAGATGAACATCGGGCTATAAAATCTGCATTTTTGAACGCTAAAAAGAGACAATGCATAATTCGTGTATACATATCGATTTTTTATAAAGTGTATAAACTAACAAGTCGTACTCTGACATGATGGTTTAACATAGGGCCAAATCAGTATAAAAACAAAATAAACAAAGTGGACACACAAAAATTACAAAGGGTGGCATCAGCACATTTTCATTTTGAGCCGTCTATGTAGGATCATTTTTTTTTTTTCACACAAAGTCCAATGCAGCCAACAATGAGGCCACTGAAGGTTTGGGATCCATGCCGAAAAGAATAGCTTCAAAAAAATTGAAGAAAGTTGCCAGTTTTTCATAGTACTCAATTCCAAAAATCCAAAACGAAGCGAACAGTCTATAAAAAGCCAGCAATGATGAATTTCCAACTGGCACCACTTTCTTGTCAAGAATTAAGAAGAATTCCTCAGGATGAGATTTCGGACCAATGACCAATAAAAATGGCTGTCTCAATGATGGAGGCTTGGTTTCAGCATAATATCCAACGTTGCAGCCGGCCTGAATAAAAAAGAATGAATAAGTTTCCAAACGATGTCATCACTTTGAAAATTCATTCAGAAACATGTCACGTTGCATCTGCTATGGTATTTTGCAAACAAGTTAGGAAACAGAGTACGCACCCCTTGAAACTTAAATAATGCCCACTGCTCTTGTCCTTTCCTCCCCTTTGTGTTGAGAGGTGGCAAAATCTTCGATAGAACTAGAAGACTCTTTAGTCCATCTAAAATGTGTCAAGTACTCTAAATATGCTCTCACACAAAAAACATAGATATAATAAAGCTATTTCACTGCCGCCCAGTTGGAAATGTGGCAGAGATAGTTCTAAGTCAACCAGTATTTATACATAAAATATCAGTAATATAAAGCATAAAGCACATACCATCATCACACTGAACACAATCCTGATCCATTTTAAGAATTTTTTGAATGAGTGGTGGAAAAATTTCCATAAACTTCTTACACTCCGGGTAATTCATCTCAAATTCACAGTCAATCTGAGTCCACAAGAAGCACATGTAAAAAAAAAGATGCTTTCTATATCCGTACTTCTTAAAAATATCTTGATGTGATGAATACAAGGGGCTCCTGAAGAATGCGAACCAAGATGGCGGACATCGGAATGTAATATGTGTACTAGGTTAGAGTTAGGCCATAATTTTAGGTACAAATACTACGGAAGGACTTGGAAGAACTCATAATAGGACTAAGATAACAAAAATTGGAATAAAATTATGGCCCAACCCTAACCTGTTACCTATGCTACGTTCCGATGTCCGCCATCTTGGTTCGCATACTTCAGGAGCACCGAATACAATAATAAACAGCCTATGTACATTGCACTTTACATCTAGATTTATTGCTAACTTACCAATCCACCCTCATAAGCATCACAGAACCTTGGGTACTTTTCTAAAATGTCAGTTAAGGTCATAGGCTTCAGCTGTATTTCAAGCCTACGATAGTCATGACTTTCCTTCATTATGTTATATATTTCTGCCTTATTGTCCTTGTTAGGTGTGGTTTCTTTCAGCCATTTAATCTGAAAAGCAATATGCATATAAAATATTCCAATAAAATACTAGCTGCGGAGAAATAAAAATTACCACCTATAAAAAATAAGAAATTTCCCACCTTTTTCAGTATAGGGCTATCGTCTTCCAGAAGTGAGGCATCCAGTTCAACAGTACTCCCACTGGTGTCAGCATCTTCGCTACTCTCAAAACTGGAACTACTTGCATATGTTGAGTGGCTTCTCTTTTGTTTTTTATACATCTTATCTTCTATTGCCATTTGTTTTCGTAAAGTTTTGAGCTTGTTTTCTATAAAGCCGGAACCACGAAGAGGATCATAATAATGGCCCTAAAAACATTTTAGCAATTTAACAATAACAACAAAAGAGCCCTAATGACAAAGCTGACAGAGAGCAGACTCGCAGTAAACACAGAATCATATTTAACACCCATTTTGGCAACTTCAGAAGAGAGGAATACAGCCTTAATGACGAAATATTGTGTACAAGATTCATGAGATTAAATAATGCCTTGTAGGGAAAGCGAAATTATCTCAAAATGAAATTACGTACATATCCGGTTGTTCCCTCTAACTTTAACTTCAGCTTTGGAAATTCCTCGACAATTGATTTTGCGAGATCAACTTTCAATGCAGATGGCGGGTAGCTAATAAACAATAAAAAATGTATTATATCAAACGAGTAAACTGCAATTGTCAAAAGCCCGGATCAATTAGACCCAGAGCATAACACTACAAAAATAGTACCGGTAAGTTCCCATGGCAGGCAGGGTGCCACAATAATAGGACATCAAGGACTGACCATAATTTTTTTATGAAAGTGATATGTTTCTTCGCTTTTCGCTTCAAACCAGGCTCTATACCAGTAGCCACTATATATTGTGAGAATGAGGTTGGTCGGCATAAGCTTACTCAATTATTTACACTCAGTCGGGATGACCTGCATAGGACTCAATCTCAACATCTCCCGCTTACGAGACAAACATGAATTACTTTTTTTTGTATCCTCTCTTAACAGCTTCAGAAACTAATATTTCCACACAAATGTTCGTAAATATTTTCTGATCTCTTCGTCTAAGATACCCATTCTCATTCAAATGTCCAATAACATCACAACCCCCTGAAAACTGGAGAATCTTTCCATGAAGATTGGCAAACTGTAGATAAAGAACACGAATATGATATACCTAACGGAAAGTAGATACACCAGTACAATAAACCATTTACTTACAGGTGGCTCCTCTGGGCACAACATGACACTTGGGCCATTTGCTTCGTTTTTGCATTGCATTATGAGTCGTTGCATTTCCTTCACGGCACGAATTGTTGAGAATCCAAGAGTCCTTAAATCGCTATCATTCAAATCCAGCAGAGTTTGGCCATTAATTTGCTCCTCTGAAAATAGGTTGGAAAATCATCAAAAAAGTGAATTCCCTATATATATATAAATATATATCTTGGATAATATGCACATATTTTATTGGCATGGTGGAAGTTGAAAGTACCAACTTACTTTGAATCATGTGTTCAATTTCGGATGTTACTAAAATCTTCTCTTTGAGAAATGACACCACTTCATTCACAGAAAAATTTTGAGAAAATTCCATTGCAAGAAACTACTTTGATTACTGTTATATCTAAGTTATGCTTAACTGCAATAAAAGAACAAAACAAGACAAAAGCATACACAATATCATAATTGCTTGAGAACAATGTACATCAAATTCCCAGTATAATTAAAAGGATACTTTAGATTATATGGAATGCATGATGCCAAATCTCTATGCCTTAAAACATCGAGCCTTTCGGTGCAAGAAAGAGCATAAGAATGCAGCTTCAAATCAAACCAATGGGTTTTACACATGTTCAGAACAAAAAAAGGTTCTTTATTTGCCAAAAAAATATTCAATATCTTGGCAAATATAGGCAGGGGCTCATCTTTCACCTCATCTGCGACTTTAACACAAACATAAAAATTTGGCCTGTACGAGATATTATCAATTATTACTTTTTGAGTGAGAAAAACAGACGTGAAATGAAACTCCTGAAGCAAACTTTTAAATGACAGATTATTCACACTTTCGAAGGATCCATTGCCAGTTTTTAATTCCTGGTCATAATCTGAAGAACTATAAAAGTTGAAGCACTGATCCACCTGATTTTTGAATGCTAAAGATTTGCAAATATTCTTAAAATTACATATAACATGTGCATGTTTTTTAAACACATTATGCCTTGCTTCATAACGCATACAGGACATGTTGCTCATTGGCCCGAACATAAGAATACATCTCGGATAATGTACCAAATGATGGTGCTTGTTAATTAGTTTTACATCAGGAAACAGTTCCTTGAAGAGAGTATGGTGAGAATAAATCAAACTTTGCAACTGATTCAATTGACCAAAAGATACAGATGATGTAAAAACCAAATCCATGATTTGCAGGAGAAGCAATATCAACTCCAGGTGCAAACTATTTTCGCCCAAAACATCGGCAAATATCAAAGGAAAATGACGGATGAGACACCAAGTTTGTGCTGACTTTTGCTTCAATGTGCCATCTGCCTTGTTTCTAAGATTACTTTCCACAATGTTTGCAGAAGGTTTGTTTGCATTTTCAATTATTCCAAAGTCAAATGATGATAACCGTGAATTTATCTCCTGCACAGATAAAAGTTTCATTTCGTATACCAAATGATGAAGCACTAATTTTATTTCCTTTGGGACAATGCCTTCTAGTAAGTCGTGCATAGGATCAAAACAAAAATTTTCAACAACATGAAAATATTTTGATTTCAGGAAAGGCGATGGATGAGATATGCCTTGTGCAGGAAAATTACCATTGTCAACAACTGACTGGTAATCTTCGGCCTTTCTCAAAACAAAATCAGACTCCATAAATTTTTCCTGAATGTCTTTGCGCTCAGCACAGCATAATCTACAAAAGTATCTTGCAGATGGAGATTGAAAACCTAACATTGAATGAGCTGCTAGTGTGTCTGCTGTGACCATTGATATTGTGCCACGTAAAATAGTACCGTCATCTAATAATACACCATCTTCACTTTCAAGTTGTTTTAACTCGTCGAAAAAAGGTTCGAGAAGTTGTGAAAATCCATATTTTTTAACATCAAGAGAATAAGCAATCGCCAATAAATGAATGTTTGATAGAGCAGAGTTAACTTTTCTTGGAAGATTCTGTATAGTATAATAAAACAATGCCAACTCATGAACTTTAGTCTTGGATCCAAGAGGATTCACAACTTCAACATCATCATAGTAGAGTTGAATTTGCAACGCTTCAGGAAATTTTTGATAGAGCTTATGCGACTTGAATACAGATCCGTCACAATAAGAACCAATATAATTTAAAGACTCTTTTGGGGGTTTTAAAAATGCTTTCAGGTTAGCGGAGTGTTGTAGCATTTTTTTGATAACTTTTATCATTGAAATGAACTGAAATGATTCAGTCACAGCAACTGACATGTACTTTGCCGAATCTTTATCATACCGCTGATCAATTCTGGAACCAAGAGCTACTTCTACAGGGGAAATCATATTTAGGACTTTGGAGAAGTAATTATTTTGTTTATAAATGGTATCCATTCTTTCGATATAATTTAATGTTTTTTCGAAACCAACAATCACTACGTTCAAGAAAGCATCGGTACCGTCATTAGCTTGTAGTGATGAATTCCTTATAGAATGTATTAGGTAGACTTTAAAATCCAACAAAAACTCTTTCAAAAAGGTCAAAAAAAGTACCAGCGTACATTCGTTAATTCCACTCTTGCATCGTAACTTCAAAATCAAACCTTCCACGCTCTTCAATAATAAATCTTCTGGAAAGTGACTCTCATTAGCACTCATATCGGGCATGTCATGAATTTCAGTTGATTCAGGAATTCTCAGATCTGTATTATCAGTTGTCTCACGTCGAGATTCTAATACCGGTACTAGTTGGTGGAATTTTTTCACATGCCGTAAAAAATTGTCAAGTCGAGTAAAGGTTGTGCAACATTGATTTTGAGAACAAGTAATATTTATATATTTCGTCTTTGACAGATTATGTTGGTGACGTAAATGAAGTGATAGTTCATCTGCCCCCCTCATCTTACATTCACAACCTTCCATTGGACACGCATAAAAATTCATTATGAGGCTCAAAAGGGCCTAAAACAAATAACAGTATATATACCAGGCCTATAGCTGTGCAAGCAGTGTGATAAAAGTACCTGTACCAATTTAACACTGCAATGAGTTATCGGTAACTGTTTAAGAAAGAAAGAGATGGCAGACTGACATAGGCTAGTTGTACTGTCTTATAGACCCTGTAACTTGAGCTTGAACAGCATGTACCGGTAGCCTACTTCAGACATAAAGTTAACTTAACAGTCAGACAATAGGCCTACCGGTAGCTTAGGCCGGCAGATCTAACTTGGCTCAGTAGCCAGTTGTGCGATACTGCAGTTCATGCTCATTTCGATAATCTAATTTGAATCCACTGCTAACAACCACTTACCGACAACGGACAACCGCTCCAAAGCTGTTAGCACTGTCAGAATGTAGCAGGTGAAAGCTAAATTCCATCTGTCATAACAGCAATTCACTTTGTAATCCACTTGTAAAAAAACAACGACCTAGCCTACCCCAAACTGTCCTATTGGCCTCTCACGCAAAATAAAAATCCCAGCATAATATATTTAACCGTAACTGATAGGCGACGCAAGCTGAGAGTGGCCATGCTGCATGATAACCTCCGGCCGAAAGAACCGCCGTCGACAACGCGAGAGGAGAAATGACGATTTCCCCGCCAATTCTACGCTTCGCCGGTTCCAACTTTAAAAAATATACAGAGAAATTAGCGGCGAGAGAAAGAAGGCGGTCGTCAAACGAGAGAATATTTGACTCAAAAACGAGTGAGAGTGCGAGAGAAATGACGCTCGAGTCACGATTGAGTCATTTTGTTCCTAACTCTTTCGAATTAGTCACGCGATTGACTCAAGTTTTTTTAGAGTGTACTTTCCCCGGAACCCAAAGATTTTGGTTTCCCGGAAGCTACCGGAAAGGTCGTCATGGTAACGCCTCCCGATCGCTCGTTTATAGTCAGAACTAGGACGGAATCTGATCGTCTTCAAACCTCTGACACTCGCTCTTGATTAAAAGCGTCAATTCATTCGGTGTACACAATAAGATTCTAAACTCGCGTTCTGGTGTGTGATACTGAATTATTTGTTGTGAGATGGTTTTCTAAACCGTTAAAAATAGACTTTGTTACCTTCAAACATTTGGAAATATTTTATAAAACATTTCAAAGAGATTGTTGAAGCATGAGCTTCAAAAAAATGCCTCCTAGAGTTAGATAAAAAAAATACAATGTATTTCCGTGTCAAAAAAATTATCTGAAGCGTTGTTATTGCTCTATAATTCACATAATACGCCTTCTCTGCTGGACGTTGGTGGCCAGTTGTAAATACCAATGTCGCTACGACTTGATGGGGCTCTTTGAACAATTGCCATGTGCGTATAAGCAGAATTTTTAGAGGGATATCCAGGATATCATTTCATAAATGAAGCTTGACTTCCATCGGAAAGTGTCACGATTTCAGTCTGTAAGGAAAAGAACATATTATGTTTCTTGCAACAAAGTCAAGCTTTTTTTCGTTTCATAACATAGCATTAGTGACGAGGGAGAATACAAAAGATTTTGCTTTTGTATACGTGTGGTATTCTGGACGTTCTTACAGTGTGATCACAAATTAGAAAATTGGTATTCTCCAAACGCTCGTTTAATATATCTCTAATTTAAAACAAACTGATACTGATCAACAACATTTATTAAGTTCGTTCATAATTGAAAATAGCAAGCTACAAAGAAGGCCCGAACATATAAAAACATTGGGTGCAGAGCCAGTTGCTCCCGCGTTTGCAAACTATAATACAAAGGCAGAACCTGAAGCGTCTTCCGATACCATGACGCGGAGAAAACTTCGAAATATTTATTCTCGCGAGGAAGTGAGTATAACCTGAAGTTTATATGATGTATTTCGTGTCTAGTGTACCACCATGTTGGGATTTCAACTAGAGCGATGACTCGTTTAAATAAAGGGGGGCGCTACTGCGATCGAAGTTATGGCGACCACTTAAACGCCAAGAGCTACTCAAACAATATGAATTTATTGCGGTGCATTATGTCCCAGTGGATCGACGCAAGGTAAGCTTTCAAGTCAATACGACCAGGAAACAGTTATTATATAATGCATATCACCAGAGTTTGCTGACAAAACGTTTGACATGAAGATGGCTTCAAAGTTCGCTCTTGTTCTGTACATTATTCACAACAAACGCTGTCGTTCTTGTCATACTTCATTCTTGCGTAGACTACTGCTATTATGGTCATATAACATGACAGAATGGGAAAAATTTAGAATATGCCCGGCATAAGATGGCCATAAATTGTGAGGTCCATGATGAACCCAGGGAATATCCTGTTTTTTTAGCACTGAATTCTCTCACTTTAAATAGCCAATTGCGTATATGTAAATAGTTTGAGACAAAATAATAGCAATAACAATAAACACATACACTATAGTAGCTGTAACGTCGTTGTAAATGCGTCATATATTACGTCGCATCTTTGTAGTTCGGTCAGTTTTCATATTTTTTCGAATTATTCATGACTTCCTCACAATTAAACCAAAACATAGTATTCGTTTTAACCAGCATTACCAACATTTAATTCGTTTTCTAAATATACTTTAATATTTTTATTAACAATCAACAGGACGAAAACGAACACATTTCAGGAAAAGATCTCAGTAGGAAATACTCTCCTCTTCCTAGTAAATTTCGACAGAATCAGCTACGAATTTCAGCTGCAAAGAGAAATCGTTTAGAAAGATCGCCTTCAATCAAAGAAAATGATTCAGTGAATTTCTCTACGTATATTGCATTTAAATTTGCTGTGTCGAAGGTCATAACCATGTAAATTTTCCATAATTTATTTAAAGTGTTATACTTTATCCTCTAACGAGTGGCATATTGAAAATTGAGGAACGCTGTCACTGATAGAGGATACGAATCATATTTATCGCGGTGGAGAGAAAACTTATAAGACGACTTAATCATCTGGCAAACCACGGCCTCTTGTCCGGTTACTAGTCCATGTCGAATATGGTTAATGTTAACCAGCTCTTTGTTTCAGATGTATGGACTTGGTAGTTGAGGAAGCCCTAACCCTACCATCGGTTTCGTGAACCAGCGATCCCCTCGCATATGATTATTCCCCACGTGGCAGCTGCCGAGCCTATGTGTCACTAGAATGAACTTTTTACTAAAACGATAATCCATTATTCAAAAATCGATATTAATAATATTTTATTCATTTTCTATTTCAGAATCGATCATTTTTGATTGTTCTCGTCATACTTTTGAATCTGGGATTCGTGGCTATTTTTAGTCAATTCTTCTTTTGACGGAACATAAGATGAAGAGTTAAATTTGATAGCAGAATCCAGTATACAAGAAAACGCTGCGTGTGTGTCTATACTCAATTCAATGATATCCGAATCGGAAAATGTATCAGAAGATATGTATCCTGTGTAAAAATTGAGCTGAATGTTTGCATTGGTGAAAATATTAGGAGAATGGAGTTTCTCCACACTTGAAAAACGTTTTCTTTATAATTTTATTTAATAAAATAACAGCAACGAAGATATGAAAATCCGTCCTTATACTCACACCAGAATTAACATTCTAAAACGGCAAACGGGTATTCGTTTGAAATATGCCTAATTTGCATGTGTTCACTCCATGTTATACTAAGATTTTAGTATACATTCATCGATTCAGAAGAATTTATTGTCTAATTGGCCAGAACCTTGTTCGGAGTGAACTGTTAAAATATAAATGAAAGAAACCGGCGGGAATATGAAACAATATGAATGTATTTTTTAGAAAAGTGTTGATTTACTTATATATAGAATATTATATAATATATTTCATTTCTTTATAATGATGTCTTAAATACAAATATGAAATAATCGGACTTTTAGTTTGTTACATACTTATTTAGTAAACGAAAGAAACATACTTTTCCGCCAGGAAACAGAAGTCAAATCAGTATAAGCCAGCATAAATCTGGTCAATTATACAGTTAAATCAGTGAGAGTACAGTAAAACGAGTACTGATTCAACGTATAGTCTTTGGGGTGATGTGGGACACTCGCCTTAAGATAAGACCTAGTTTATAGCGCGAATTTTTATTTATTTTTTGACCTAGTCGATAGCAAGAAATCTCACCAACACTAAATGAATAATCTAAGACGCGTGGAAGAGGAAAATGTTAGGTTATTTATGAGTAAATGGATATCGGCTTACCAATTTTGTGTATTTGAAAATTTCATCATTCTCCACTGTGTAACTTTGTTTTTGATATATGAAAATAAAAGACACACCCAATAAGCCCTAGTGTTATTTTTCGAAAAAAAATTGTAATAAGACACGGGGATAAGGGAAAACGGGACAAACAATATGTTTTAAAACTCGCGTTATGTGCGAAACTGAATTATTTGCTGTGTGCTGTTTTTCTACACCGTTAATAATAGATTTGTTAAATTTATACACTTGGATATATTTTATATGACATTTCAAAAAAAGCCTTGAAGAAAAATGCTTCGTGAATTAGATAAAAATACAAAGTAGTCCATGTCAAGAAAATTATCCGAATCATTATTATTGCTCTATAATTCACATAATACGCCCTCTCTGCTGGACGTTGGTGGACAGTTGTGAATACCAATGTTGACAGAACTTGATGGAACTCTTTGAACAATTGTCATGTGTGTATGAGCAGGTGATTTAGAGGGATATCCAGGATACCATTTCATAAATGGAGCTCGACTTCCATCGGAAAGTGTCACGATTCCAGTCTGTAAAGAAAAGAACATTGTTTCCTGCAACAAAGTCAAGCTCTTTTTCGTTCCATAACATGGAATTAGTGACTAGGGAAAATACAAAATATTTTGCTACAGTATACGTGTGGCATCCTGGACGTTCTTACAATGTGATCACAAATTATAAAATTGGTATTCTCCAAACGCTCGTTTAATATATCTCTAATTGAAAACAACAAAATGGAGATGTTCAAATATATATTAAAACGAAGTAGTTTGCTGCAAATTAGTAACTTGTCACATGAAAATTGCGATCTCGTGAAGGAAAAAAATGGGATAGCGATATGTTGAATAAAATATTAGATCTCCCAGGATTCATAGAAAATTTAGGAATAAATACCAGTAATATGCTTCTAGCGACAACAACAATCTTTAATCACAAAGCATTTGGAAAATTACAAACGATCGTCAGGTAAAGATTATCGAGAAACGTTAAAATTTGCTACAAATGCGGACTTTGTTAAAACATATTTTACAATTCAAATTGAAAATATATATATAAATATATTTACAGCTGGATTTGTTCGCATTCCCACCCATAGGAAATTCGTACTCCTCTTTGCAAATATTTTCGCTCGAAGGTATCGCATGATGACATTGTAATGTTTTTCCGAATAAATATTTGCTGGTGAGCCATTCCGTTCTGCACATGTGGCTTCCCATCTGTCATAGCCTGTCACACCATGATCAAGACTCTCTACCCAGTAGCATTTACCGTCGAACTTTATCTCACACGCCCCTAAATAATTTAGGAATATACATAATTTTCTGGTAAAAGCGGGCATGAACTTATATGAAAGTTTGTTTACTACCAAGATGTTTCATACCAAGATTATTTAAACGCTAAATTTTCGATTAGACTTTTTTTGACCGGAGTCTACATGAACGCAACTCTATACGGTTTTAAAGATTGCTGTTGTATTTTTCTGCATACCTTCTCTGTTTTCTAAAATTTTTATTCGTTCCTCAAATTTCTCAATCACCAAGGTAAGGGCGTTGTTGTTTGCAGCTGATTGACTGATAACTGAAAAGGGTGTAAGTATTTTTAAAAAGATGAAGTCAACAGCTCCACGTATTAAATGATTGTGCTAAAATTCACAAATTCAGTCAAACGTTTTAGAGTTTAGTGGATTTGTTGCAGAGAGTATAATGTAAAAAATCAAATGACATCATTATGAGTGCAGTTTTGAAAATAATAGCAAGTTAAAGCAATACGGATTTCGAAGCCCATCATATTTGATCACAGAAACAGTCTCTTTCACGATTTTCAACGCTCTCAGTTTTACGGCCAACCGAAAAATCATTTTACCTGGCACAATCTTCTCGTCTATTTCAGTTTTGATTCGTTCGTAATCCACAATAGCTGGAGGCCCGACAGGTCCAGGCCGGCCTATTTCACCTTTTTCTCCAACTGGTCCTCTCTTCCCCGGAGAACCTTGAGATGTTTCGATTCCGATTGATGTATGTGCTCCGTCTCGGGCACAAAGTGTTTGAAATAAGTTTTCAATTTGCGTACAAGCTGGAGTATCATCAAATGCATTTGACCAGCTAACAAGCAAAAGCAGACCCAGCGTTTTTAACGTTAACATGATGCAGAGCTATCTGATGATTCTATTTTCTATTATCTTATGTATGTAAAATTAAATTTAAAAAAATAAACAACTAACAAATAAAATAATATTTTTATATAATATTTCCGGGTTGAAGTCAACTTTTTCAGAAATAAGAAACTGCATTCAGCATGGATAAACAATATAGAAGACTTTCTTGTCTTATTTTTCTCTTTTGTATAATCTATAATTTTTAGCAAATTGATCGCTGGTTCAAAGTATGAAATAAATTTAATTTTGTATATAGCGCAAAGTTAGATGATTTATGCTCATTATTTGAGAATGTTCAGTACATACAATCCCTGCTCTCTTAGTGCAAAAAAAATAACTCTTAAAATTGCGACGACATGATTCCCAAAGAACTCTCGGACCTCCCGAAGTATGCGCACCAAGATGACGCACAACCTGAACTCAGAGTGTTCAACTGTTTTATGCCAACCAACTGGTGGAAGGGCGAGGCTTACAGAGGGTTGCTCTCTCCGAAGGAAACAACACTAAAGTTTTCGCACAACCTGAACAACGCTTGGTCGAAAGATTTTACATTTAGCCTTTTTTTATATTGCACTCACGTGCGTATTTATAAAACTTCGAATATTTATATCCCAAACTAGTGCCTGGCATTTAGGCAAGTAACATATTTAGTATAGTGGTAATAATATTCTATGAGCAATCACAATTGTTCTTTATTAGACATTACACAATTTAAATCAACTACAATTCAAACAATTTCGCGATGCACTTTCTAATTGCTTGTAACAAACGCGACAACTTTGCATCCCCAATTACATTACAAAGTACAGTTTCAAATAACGGTTTTCTGTCGAGTTATTTATTAATTTTTTCTCCGTTTCGGCAGTCATGCATTTAGTTATGATGCATTTGTGTGTTTTGTTCAGTTGATTGATGAACTCAAAAAATGATTAGAATGCACGTCTGGTTTCCTGGAGACGTCTCATAACTGGGCCTACATTTTTTTTTATGTCTGTGACGTTAAAACACTAAACTGTAAACTTGGGCAAAACATCTAAGCTACTTAGCGATTTCCATGGGTGTTAGCTAGGTCTTCGATAACTAGACATAACACACTTTCGCACACTCCTCAAATTTGTCATAACGAAAACCTAATGCACTTTTAGATAAAATAAATCAACTATTTTGATGAAGTAGAAGACATATGGAAATAGAAACAAGTCTTCTACTGTCAAATAACGGAGCCCAATATGACTACTGACGATTGAGACCATACAACCAGCCATACACCCAACTACAAACCATACCACTTGCATCTGGTTGGATTCACCATGTCCGAACGTCAGTAGCTAGAAACGCGTCATGGAAGTTGGATATCCTTACGTGCTCGACAATATTTGTCCAGTGACTGAACAATTCACTGATATGTACATGCATGGGATATTGTAGTCATATTTATTTGGGCTGGTGTCCCTATGACCGTAATAAACCCCCTATACCGAATTCAAACACAAATATCAAATATGATTGGCGTCAGAATTGCGAACCTTCTCCCATCGACGAAATAAATTGTTGTTGTGCTTATTTTACAGATTCTATACTGAATTCTATTCTACTAATAAAATATCAGTTTTATCACATTTTAAACCGCTTTTATTCTGAAACAAGCCTATAAAATTCAAAAAATTGAACCATGCAATTGATTACCCAGAAGACGTCTCTTAGTTTGGTTGCTTTCTTATGTAAAATCTATAACGAATCCTAAAGTTGAAAATTGATTGTACTTGTTTACTTCTAAGGTGTATTATTTTAACGACCCATCCATCAGTGAGTACAGTGTTTAAATGATCATGTTCGTCTATTGAGATGGATTCAGGTTCAATCAGTTCATCTGGAATTCTTATCCCACATTGCAGCTATTTTCAACTTGTACCCAATCACATTGGCAAACTTCTTGTACATCACTCAATGAAACAGCAGTAATTGGAGATCTAGCATAGGCACAGAATAATAATCCAGCTATCAAAACAATTCCTACCACTACCTTGAAAGCATTTTGTATTGGGAGAATCCTGCCCTTGCACACTTACAGATGAATTACCTCGTTTATGTAGCCTCATGTTCGCGCTGCATTGTTATGATTTCAGTTTATCAGCGTCTTGAAATTTCTTTTCTATCATCGCAGATAACTTTACCCCTTTTAGGCAACAAACCACAATCGGTGTTTGTGCATCATGGAGGTCTATGCTTGTCTTTAGTATGGCTCTGTTATGTGACGAGCACCAACTGTTCTCTCTCAGTTACTGATACTGGCGTTCAACGTTTCAAATTCAATTAGTTTGTATAATTGAATGATTGATACAAGTTTTCCACGGTATACTGAACATATCGAATATATATTGTGTAGGCTTGCACGTAATTGACAAAAATCAATTCCGTAATTACGGCCAAATCGATTACGTAATGACCCCGTAATTGCGATATTTTTTCACACATTTAAACCTAGCATACCAACCAATTTAATCCACTTCTATTCCGAATGGGACATCGAAGTTTGGTTTTCATATTCCCGGCAGTACCACACGCCGGAGACAGATGTTAAAGACAAATATCAAGGAGTGAATTCAAAATAATTTTATTCTGATTTTTATCTTTTGTATTAGCTTTGATTTTCCTTTATCAACTTTATCACCAAATTTTATGCGATCAATTTTATCATTACCAACACTGGTAATATATTTAAGAAACGATAGTTCACTTTTTTAAATCGTATTGACGTATTAATACGACTTTCGTATTGAATAAAAATTCCGGGTTGCTAATTATTAATCAACTACAAGCGTATTCTCTCGTTTGATTATACTTTCGCTTGCCTCGCGACGAAGACTTGTTATTTCACCGTTTTTTACAATATCCGACTTTACTACTTAGTTACCATTTTATAATAATTATTGATGCCGACTTATTGACGATATTCCGAATTCCATGCTTCATTTTACATTAAATCATTTCGCGGCCTAAATGTTATAACATTATTTACGATAAATTTAGATCAAATATTAATTATTTGCGCATTATTTAAAATACCGTACTTATATGACATGCCTTCTCCGAAAATACAAAGTTATATCGCAAAACAATGCATTTTGTGACATTTATTTTGCACTCATGAAAATATTAATTTATTTTTCTAACTCAAGTCGACAATCCTATTTGCCAAGATTGACACAAGTTTGGTCGAGTGCCGGTGGTATTCAGGTCGACGATAAATCAAAATAAGTTGCCGCATTTGGTAAAGACAGGTAATCATATTTGGCCGACATTTGCGAAGGCATTGTGAAAACATATTGAGCAATGCCAAGTCCGGACAAATATATAACGATAAAACCGGTAACAGAACATCAAATTTTGTAATAGAAAATGGATTTCGCGCAGAATAAACACGGGAAATCCCGTCGTAATGTTGTTTCTCTGCCGTCTCAATCGCTTTACCGATGCCGAAAGGACTAAGTTGCGTTGGTTCATTACGCAATTTCTCTTCCGTCTCTTGCTCTTTGATAAGCGCGACATTAATTATCACGACATTTACAAATAGACCATGTTTTATAAGTTGATCTCTTACATTCTTCACTCATTTCACCCGAAGAAGTTGAAACCAGGTGTGTTTGCGTCCATCGGTCTCGACACAATTCTATTCCTTATTTACGGTTAATATGTACATTGGCCATCTTAGATAAGTTGATAATAGGTTAGTAAATGACGCGTTATGCCCTCCCCATCTGCCTAACAAGAGAGAGAAAAACGGCTGCGAATACCGGAACTCTAACTTCTTTTACTTAAACTTTAATTTTTTACAATCGACGGAATTGACTGCTCTGAAGAGAGCTCGTTTCAATCGCGAAAGCGCTCGACCAATAATTACGACTTTACGTAATTCGTGACTTCGCTTGCGTAATTCGAAATAATTCCGTAATTCCGTAAATTTGTAAATTACGTGCAAGCCTAATATTGTGCAAACATGAAATGAAGCCTGAATGCTTGCCATGCGGTAAAGTTGCAGAACAAAAAAAAACGATGATTCATCCTAATTCATGTCATTTTGTATTTGGGGTACGATTTTGCAAAACCACGAATACTATTAAAAATCACGTAGGCTACGGATTTAAAACCTGAAATATTTCACACAGGTAGGTTTGTTCAAAAATAATTGTTTTAAAATATTTGTTTTAAATCAAGTTTTTTTTGCCTGTTTTGTTTAAAATGTCTGTATTATTTTTTTTTGTATTAAATGGATGTTAAAACTTGTCAAGCGCATATTATTCTCAATAAATCCTTCGAAACGCCACGAATAT